ATGTTGAAAAAATAATCAGAACTATTCATTGCTTTTTTTTCTTTCATTGGAGTTTCTCTTTAATTTTGCCACTGACTTATTGCAGATTCTTTCCCATTCATCAAATTTTATATGATTTCAAGTTATCTCATTTGATATCTTTATTTTTTTCAGCTATTATTTGTGAATATAGCACTTTACCAAGTACAAGTTTAATAGAAGTATTCCACTTTTTCCTATTCAAAGTGTAACCCATTTTTTCCTCTTGGAAGTATCCTTCTTGCAGTCTAATTTGTTAGTCACTGTGTACTGCTACTGTTCCACCTACCTTGAAAATTGGAAATATTTTGGGGCGCCTGGGTGGCTCAGTTGGTTAAGCGACTGCCTTCGGCTCAGGTCATGATCCTGAAGTCCCGGGATCGAGTCCCACATCAGGCTCCTTGCTCAGCAGGGAGTCTGCTTCTCCCTCTGACCTTCCTCCCTCTCATGCTCTCTGTCTCTCATTCTCTCTCTCGCAAAAAAAAAAAAAAAAAAAAAAAAAAAAAATTTCAAAAAAAAAAAGAAAATTGGAAATATTTTAAGTTCTCTGTTACTGCATGACCTTTGCCTCTCACATCTAGTCAGTGTGCATTGTTTTTCCTTTTTCTTTAGGTACTCCTAGCCAGATTACTTAAGTACCCAGCCATTCTTAGGTCTGACTTACCTTGCTTTAGGCACTAATTTCCCACATCAGTCATATATTCTGATATCAAAATCTTTTTTTTTTGCATTTAGTTGGCTCTTCAACATCTGCCGCACTAAACTCAGACTGAACTTTTCTCTCTGTTGGACTTTGTTTTTGCATCCTTCTTTATTATCCCCATTATTACCACAATGTGTATTTGTTATTATAACCTGTACCCTTGAGTCTAATATAAAAGAACTTCATTTAAAATATTTTCTTGAGGGGCACCTGGGTGGCTCAGTCGTTAAGCGTCTGCCTTTGGCTCAGGTCATGATCCCAGGGTCCTGGGATCGAGCCCCACATCACATGGGGCTCCCTGCTCTGCTGGAAGCCTGCTTCCCCCTCTCCCACTCCCCCTGCTTGTGTTCCCTCTCTCGCTGGGTCTCTGTCAAATAAATAAATAAAATCTTAAAGAAATATAAAATATTTTCTTGATTCTTCTTCCATATTTATCCCTGCTCAGATTGATAAAAGGTTACTGTATCTGACTTGAAACATTACAACTGAAAGGGATTTGGAGAATTTGACTATTGCACTTTAGAGGGAATTATTAGGATAAGAAAAGTTTAAAGAATTTAGATTAATCTGGAGGCAAGAAAAGTAAATTATATTTATTGTCTGATAGGTGTTACCAGTTTATAGAGATACTTAAAAGAAAGAATCAGACCAGAGGTTATTGGCATTTAAGTTGGATAGTTTGGATAAATTGGAAGGACAAAAGATATACATGTAACTGTGTATCCCCTATGTTTCCCCTATCACTTAGTTCGCAAATATTTTACTGCCAAGGGAGTAGAGCAAGGCTAGGATTTATTTACTCTGATTGCATACCTTGGACAGTGCCTAGAAGTCCACCTACCCATATGAGAGTCTGCCTATTTTGACTTCCTAATCAGGTAATTAAATGTGAGGCAGAGTTATATACTACTTTATCTTTCTATATGCTTTTGTCAGTTTCTAGCATATAGAAAAAAATTATTTCATTTTATTTCTCTGGTCAGACCAAAAGGTGCTGTGAGTTTTTGTTAGCAGTGAGATTTTGGGAGCACTGTTTTTTAAAACCTGGGAGATGATATGAAGGACATATGTTTCCTTGTAAATTATTAGTTATAAGTCTTAATGGAGATTGGAGATTTGATGACTTTTTAACGTTCTTTCAAACCTATAATTTCCATTCCATTTCCTGGCCCTGTCATTAAATTTTCTTATCCTGATGAACATAATTTATTATTTATTGCAGATTTTATTACTGCTACACTGGTAATATATAAACTATGTGTTAAATATGAAGTGGGTTTTTTAACTCTGTGTAATGTGGAGCATGAATGAACACATTGTTACTAAATTGGTTAGAGAGTTCTTGCAGAATTAATCATTGAATCAAGAATTGCTTGTGGGGGGGGCGCCTGGGTGACTCAGTTGGTTAAGCGACTGCCTTCGGCTCAGGTCATGATCCTGGAGTCCCGGGATCGAGTCCCGCATCGGGCTCCCTGCTCGGCAGGGAGTCTGCTTCTCCCTCTGACCCTCCTCCCTCTCATGCTCTCTGTCTCTCATTCTCTCTGTCTCAAATAAATAAATAAAATCTTTAAAAAAAAAAAAAAAGAATTGCTTGGGGGACCCCTGGGGGGCTCAGTTGGTTAAGCGTCTGCCTTCGGCTCAGGTCATGATCCCAGGGTCCTGGGATCAAGTCCCGCATCTTCTCCCTCTGCCTCTGCTTCTCTCTCTCTCTGTCTCTCATGAATAAATAAATAAAATCTTAAAAAAAAAGAATTGCTTGTTAGTTCAGTGAATAATTATAAGAAATGCTACTTTATTGTTATGGAGATTGTAATGTAAGAGTGACTTGTTTGTGATACACTTCTTTTGAGAATTGTAAAACTATATTATAAATTGTCCTTATTAAAATGGTGAATAGCATTCTGTCTTCTTATTTTAATTATTTTTAAAATGTTTCTCTACGCAGTCTTAAATAAGGTATTTCACAACTCCATTTATATGCATTTGTTAATTTGACTCCATGTTTACATTTTATTAAGTATGGAGTTAACATTTTTTAATGATTGGTAAAATTTGGAATTACATTATGATCTGGATGAAAAAATATTTCAAGTAAATTATAACTTAATTGAATTCAAAGTTAAATTTATTCTAATACTTCACCTTCTGCCCCATTTTATAAATAACAGCCTAAACCTCAGCATGGGTAGGGGAAGACCTTTTGGTTGACAGTTTAGCTGTTGTGTAATCTAGATGTACTTTGAAGCTATGGCTATTCATATCTACGCTAATTCCTTTATAGTGTTTTATTTATTAAGGAGGATTCCGAACAAAAGAAAAAGAGTTTTGTTGGGTTAATAGCTGCTACCCTTTCTTTTCATCCTTTCTTAAGACACTGCTTCCTTTGTTGGCCAGGGAAGGTATAAAAGGAATATTTTGTGGTTTTTCTTTTTGTATGTCAAACTGGTTATTAATAAGAAAACTTAATTTCCTCTGGGAAGCTTGTCAGTATTCCCAAGGCTGGTCCTTTCCACCTTCCACCTCCTCACGGGTCCTTTTCTGCTCTGTTCCCTTCTAACCTCTTTTCTAACTGTACTTGATTAACAAAGCAGTGGGTGTGTGTGATTTAGAGTCTAGTTTATGTTATATTGAAATATTTAAAAGGATGTTATGTGGCAAAGGAATTAGGTTTATTGGATGGCAGCAAAAGGAAAAAATGGGTAGAAATGGAAAGATTGCTCAAAGTATGGAACAAATTTCTAAAAGAACTGTTCAAATTAGGATTAGCCACCTCAAGACCTTTCTGGGAATGCTGTGATAAATGTTAGACTAACTGACCTATAACGTTGTTTATAACAGATTCCAGGACTTAATAATTGTGTGTGTGTGTGTGTGTGTGTGTGTGTATATATATAATCTATGTATTTATATACACACACATATGTATATCTTATTTGTTTCTCTAAACTGCTGCCTTAGAAGTTATAGTTTATATCTGATGGCCTGTAGTTTCTCTGTAATATATCTGGGTATGGGATTCGTTTTCATTTATCTATTTAGGATTTAGTGTGTGCTTCTTCAATCTGCTAATTTAAGTCTATCTTCAAGTCTGAAAAAAATCTGTCTTTATCACTGAAGATTTTGCCTTTACTTTTCTTTGTTTTTCTTTCTAGTACTGTAATTAGACCTCTGTAGAGCTTCTCATTTTGTCTCCCTTTTCTCTGAACTGCTCTTTAGTATTTTTCATCTCTTTATCTCTTTGTGAATGTCTGAATAATTTCTTCAGATATTCTTCTAGTTTACTCATTCTGTCTTTAGGTTATCTGCTGTTTAACCAGTACATTAAGTTACTAATACTAATGTTCATAGCAATACTTTTTTAATAGTAGCAAAAAAATGCAAAAACTACAATCCAAATGCCCATCAACAGCAGAATAAAAAATATATTTGGTATTCAATGGGATATGACACAGCAGTGTAAATATGCAAACTGTAGCTGTGTGCAACAAGTGAGATGAATCTCGGAAACAATGTTAAGCAAAATCATACAAAATTAAATGATATAATTTTTAGGCCTATGCAGATATTGAACCAAGGTTATAATGACAAGCAAGGGAATAATGAACAAAATTCAGTTTAGAGATCACCTTAGAGGGGAAAGGAACGTGTGATTGGTTAAGTTGAGGCACCCAGACGACTTCAAAGGCAGTAATGTTCTTTATCTTCAACTGGGTGGTGTTATATAAATGTTTGTTGTGTCATTCTACTATACACATAGTTTCTAAATTTCTTTTGTACCTACTCAGTATTAATAAAAACATTTTAAAGACCTTAAAAAGTAAAAGTAGAATGTACTCTGAGCAAATGAATACAAGTATAAGTTAATTATCAGCACAAATGTCTTTGAAGGAATAAATTTAGAGTTTGGAATTGGCTTGTTCAAATAATTACTGAATTCTCATTTTGCCTGTTATAATAGCATTTTTTAAAGCTTAAAGTATCATATCTCTTTAGATACTCTAACACATTCTTCTATATCTGTTTATAATAGAAAATATTACATAAATTATTGTATTTTAAAACAATTTAAAAAATTAAGGTACAGGTCCCAAATAAATGTAATATATTCACATCCTTATTGAGAAGCTTCATGGCGACAGTTAAGCCCTTTGCTGTTTTTCTCCTGTGATTGACATGACAGCAGTCTGTGGAGTTAGCTGTGCGATTATGTACAGATTGGAATTACTTTAGGTTATTCTTTGAAAATAGGACTTCAAGCAAGGCATCTTGTATTCCTTTTGCAGAAATGTTGCTGAAGTGCTCCTGAAAGGGCCAGAGATGCAAGGATTTGGGACACATTTTGAACCTTTAAGCTGTCTGACATTGACCTCCTTTCATTATTAATAAAGAAGAAGCAGGAGCTTAGGATGTATTAACACCAACTCATTAATATACTAACCGGACAATGTTCTGCAACAATTCTACATTGTAAAGAACTGGATTGGCACTAAATAAAATAATTTCATATTTTACTCAGCTTATAATATGACTCGATGGAGGAAAATTTGATAAGCATGAGGGAAGACTATTCTTTTCATGTTCGTTACAGGTAAGACTACTGCTTTCATGGTGGCTTTTAATCCTTATTTAAACATGTATTTAGCTCTGATCATTTCAAATTTAAATTCGAATGTATTCAAAATATACTAGCCTTAGTTAGTATCTCCTATAAATGATATTTTCTTTTTGTTGTGTTTGTTGTAAGTTTTTATATCCTTTCTATAGGAAAATGGTGGTGAAGATCGATTATATATTATTGTTTATTAATGTTTTGTGGACGAGTTTATGAATAGTTACTTTATATTTTCTAACTATTGTAATGCAAGTATAAAAATGAAATAAATTTCTAAACGTTTGGGGTAAAAGATGGATTTGTAATATGGTCAGATGAATGACCTAATTTTTGTGTTTCAGTTTTGAAATGGTGATCTTTTATAAATGAGCTTTTTAAAAAGTGGGTAATGTTGAAAGGGGTGGGTACTTTCTAAACATGATAAACTAATAGCCAGTTTAATATTTAGTGATAAAATATTAATGACATTTTGGATACATTTAGGAACAAAGCAGTGATATCTGCATCATTATTTAACATTTTATTCTAAAAGTTCTGGTCATTGCACTAAACAATAAAATGAACATAAACATAAATATTGGAATGAAAGGCATGTAATTATTAGTAGGGTTTTCAGGATACTAATAGATTCTTTATCAAAACTGTTTTAAGTTAGTATTAAACATCAGAACTTGTAGCAATGGGTAGTATTCAGCATCTCTATTAAGTTGAAGTTGTTGATTACCAAATCTTAGATATCTTAACGTATGTTTAGGAAATAGATTTGTTGTCTTTTGGAGCAGATGATTCATGTTAGGGCAAAGTGCCACCACAAAAGTTTATATAGGTAAGATGAGGGTATTTCTATTTAAAAAAAAAAAAGAAGAAGAAGAAGGGGCACCTGGGTGGCTCAGTTGTTAAGCGTCTGCCTTCGGCTCAGGACAAGATCCCAGGGTCCTGGGCTCGAGTCCCACATTGGGCTCCTTGCTCAGCAGGGAGCCTGCTTCTCCCTCTCCCTCTGCCTGCTGCTCCCTCCGCTTGTGCGTGTGCTCTGTCTCTCAATAAATAAAATCTTTTAAAAAATAAAAATAAAAAGTTTTGAATAAAAGAAATGGAGGACATTCAACATAATTAAAATGAGCTTTTATTATATGAAAGGCCCTCACTCTACCCTTTTGGGCATAGTTCCAGAAACCTGGGAGTTACCTTACATGCTTTTTTCCCTTCTTACTCTCTATCCAGTGTGAAGTCATGCCAGTTCATCCTAAATGTTGATCCAGATTGATCTACCCATCTGGATCCTCCCTATCCCTGCAATAGTTTAGGCCCCCATCATCTTCCTTCCAGACTCCCTCTATTCTCCATTCTTTTTTTTTTTTTTTTAAAGATTTCATCCATTTATTTGACAGAGAAAGAGCACAAGCAGGGGGAGAAGCAGACAGAGGGAGAGGGAGAAGCAGGCTCCCCGCCGAGCAGGGAGCCCGATGCGGGGCTCGATCCCAGGACCCTGGGATCATGACCTGAGCCGAAGGCAGACGCTTAACCGACTGAGCCACCCACGTGCCCCTCTATTCTCCATTCTTACCTCTTAGAATCCATCTTTTTAATTTGCTGCTAGAGGGCTCAGTCTAAAAACACAGAGCTAACTACACAAATGCTGCTTTATCACTGTGGTGGCTCCTAGTCACCTGTAGGGCAGAGTCAAGCTTAACATAGTATGCAAGATCTTCCATTTTCTAGCCTCTGTGTATTCCTTTGTCCTTACTTTCTCCAGTCCTCACCTTGCGCTTTGAGTTCTGGTTCTCTATACATGTCTTGCTCTTCCATGTTCTGTGCCTTTGCTCATGCTGCACCCTATGACTTGAATTATCTACTCCTGGAAACCATTTTTAAACAGTATATTTTGACTATGTGCCCTCCCTGTGCTCACATAACATCCTTTGCATATTTCTTTCTTTGTATCAACTCTATTAAAATTCATTGTATCTGTTTATATGTTTGTCTCCTCCTTGACTACTCCCTTCTTTGACCATTAACTTCCTTAGGGCAGCCATGATGGCTAGCTTGTTATCTGACTCATAGTGCACGTTTGATGAAATGTCCATTGAATTCCATTGGACATAACTATCAGATGAATCTAGTAAGTAAGATTTTATCTGTCTTACTAAGCATTTTCAAGGATGGTATACTTCTTAATACTGTAAGAGCAGCAGGTAAGGAGTGGATTATACTTCTCCCTGTAGGAAGATCTTAGATTTGTCCTTCTTCCATGATAGGTCAAATATGGTTATATATTGGTATAGGACTTCACCAAAAGAAACTTTAAACTCTGTAACTATTTTTAGTAAGAATATGCCAAACAAAGCTCTGGCTTCATCAGTGTTCTAAGATCAGCATTCTGTATATTAACTGGATTGTTGTATAATTGCAGATAATACTTTGTGTCCTTTATGTTAGGAGTCATGGCCTAGTATAAATTACTATTCTACTCTGGTAAACAGGTAGCATGTAATGTGTTATCCATATGGTTCTTTCGTTGTGGCAGTCCTCATCCATCCCTGGAGGAGTTTCTGTGGCACAATGAGTTTGTAATTTTGAAATGGGATAATCCTTCAAACACTAAGGAACCTCCTGAGAGATATCATAATGCTTTATGAAATATTTTGTGACCTATTTGTGAAGGTAAAGAGAAATGGAGACTGATAGTAAAATGAAATTAGTTTCTAAACTTTAAAACAGTATCTGAGGGGCACCTGGGTGGCTCAGTTGTTAAGCATCTGCCTTCGGCTCATGTCATGATCCCAGGGTCCTGGGATCGAGCCCCATGTCGGGCTCCTTGCTCAGCGGGAAGCCTGCTTCTCCCTCTCCCATTCCCCCTGCTTGTGTTCCCTCTCTCACTGTCTCTCTCTCTGTCAAAAAATAAATAAAATCTTTTATAAAAAAATAAATAAAACAGTATCTGATTGATTTTAAATTAATTATCATTAATTTTTTAGGCATGATGATAATTTTTTTTGAAAATGGTGATGGGTCTTAAAGAGGGCACGTACTGAATGGAGCACTGGGTGTTATACGCAAACAATGAATCATGGAACACTACATCAAAAACTAATGATGTAATGTATGGTGATTAACATAACAATAAAAAATAAAAAGAAAATGACTCTTAGAGATATATACTAAGATATTTACAAGTGAAATTGTATGCTTTCTGGGATGTACTTCAAAAGAATCTGGGGTTGGAGAGTGAGGATGGAAGTAGAGATGAAACATACTATATTACATATTGGTAATGTTGATGTTGAAAGATGGATATATCAGGTTCATTATCAAACTAGTTTCTCTAGTTTTGTATTTCTTTGAGAAATTTTTTTGTTCATACTTGTTACTATGGATAATAAACACTTCAGTACTTTCATATTGTAAAAATTAGACCATTGTATGCAAGTTGTAAAGGAATACAATTTTGGTGTTGAATTCTTCAGTTTTGCTAGGTAAATGTAGTTGTTAATATTCTTTCCTCAAGAATAGTTTGAGGTAATGTGGAATGGTGGAAATAGCACTGGGTTTGGAGACAAAGATAGGATTTCATTTCTCAGCTTTGCATTCCCATGATCTTATTAATAGGTCGTTCAACCTGTCTGAGCATCATTTTCCTCTTCTGTAATAATACCTATCTCAGAGCGTTATTTTGAGAGTTAAATTTGATATAATATATAGTAAAATCACTTTTAAAACTAAGTTACCAATCAAAATTCAAATCTAAATCAAGACAAATTTACACTACTTTCTCTTTCACAAAGTAAACTAGAATAACTAGATATATGTGGTAAATTGAATGGATGAAAATTGTTTGTGGGGCTAGGATTGATAATGGAAAAGATCCATGCTCAATTAGAACCCATAGAAGGTGGAGGGAGCTAAGGTCTATAAAAAGAGATTTGACAGCTGTAGAAGACAGCACAATGAAGATGCAGAGCACTCTTGTTTTGAATCTTGAGTCCTCAACCCCATCATTTATTCTTAAATAGTATGTAAACCCTTTGAGGGGAGGATCCGATTTGAACATAATCTGCATTAAAGCTTTTAAAATGATGTAGCATTGAGGTTTTTAATCCTCTTTTGCTTTCATTGGTATGCCATGAACACAAGAAACCAAAATTAAGGAAGTAAAGGAAAAAAATCTAGTGTGGAAGAAAAGTAAATAATAATAAAATATAAAAATCATTGAAATGACATGAGTTTGTGCAAAAATGAGGAATTATAGCTATAATGGTCTATTAGAAAAAACAAAAACATTTCAGTTAAGGATAATAGTACTGTGTTTATTTATAGTTATTAGGAATGTATTTTCTTTGGTTATACAACTAGATAGGCCATTAGGAAGAATAAAAGAAACTTTGTATGTGGGATGTATGTTAATGGAGTTATTTTCCCAGTTTGTCTTCTGCTCTGGGTATGTTCTTTGTTTCCAACCCAGCTGGTAAACAAATGAAGTAATTCTATTCTCTCATAGAGACAAAGAGGATATGAAATTACTTTCTCTCTTACTATTTAATGATCTTCTAAAAAATTTATAAACCAACCTGCCTTGCCTACTTTGCAATTAGATATATTTGATTGAGGTGTTGGGAGATTTTGCCAGAATATTGACTTCTTTTCTAATAAAATTATACCAGAGCTGAATATTTCTTAGAATTACTAATAAACTAGAGAGTTTGGGACTTTATTTTGGGACTTAGTTACTGAAGTAACTTTGCTAAGGTAGTTTCCCTTACAGGGTATTCTTACTTCATGGACTTCAGAGACAGCTGAGTAGCTAGCAGGGTTCCAGTTTGCTGTCATTCGTCCTAATGAAAATTATCTAAAATGCCTTTTTAAGGGGGCGCCTGGGTGGCTCAGTCGGTTGGGCGTCTGCCTTCCGCTTGGGTCATGATCTCAATGTCCTGGGATCAAGTCCTGCATTGGGCTCCCTGCTCAGCAGGGAGTCTCCTTCTCTCTCTCTCTCTCTCTCTCTTCCCCCCCCCCCCCCCCCCCCCCCCCCCCCCCCCCCGCTGGTGCATGCACGCTCTCTCTGTCAAATAAAATCTTTAAAATAAAATAAAATGCCTTTTTAAAAATTTGTAGCTCTTATGACACTATTTAGTCTATAGCTAAATTAATATTATATACAACATCATTTGGTTTGATGGTTCCAGAATAATGTGTAAGCTTAAATCCAGAAAGTCAAATATTTGTGGTGAAGATATTTATTTGAAGAAGACATTTTTCTGGTTTATATGGATATAGCAAACATGTTGTAAATTTCCAATTTTTTACATGTCTTATATCTGAATAGCCAGTTCTACCTTATCTCTGATTTCCTGGCCAGCCAGCTACCCATCCTGAACAGATGGTGCTGTTGTGTGTAACTATTTCTCTACCTCTCTCTCAGTAAATACTCAGTGAATACGATCATTAGTATTCCATTGTACCATGCATTTTCTTTAAAACTCTATTGATGGACATTTAAATTGTGAGGGGTTTTTTGCTGCTGTGAACATCCTTTCACATATATTTTTTTGAATTTGTGTACCTATAGATTTAATATCAATTCCTAGCAGTGAAATTGCTCAGTATATAATTTACATAATTAGAATAATGCTTAAATTAAAAATTTTTAATAGGGGCGCCTGGGTGGCTCAGTTGGTTAAGCAACTGCCTTCGGCTCAGGTCATGATCCTGGAGTCCCGGGATCGAGTCCCGCATCGGGCTCCCTGCTCAGTGGGGAGTCTGCTTCTCCTTCTCCCGCTCTCCCCCTCTTGTGCTCTCTCTCTCTCATTCTCTCTCAAATAAATAAAATCTTTAAAAAAAAATTTTTTTTAATAGAGGGGTACCTGGGTAGCTCAGTTGGTTAAGCTTCTGCCTTCGGCTCAGATCATGATCCCAGGGTCCTGGGATCGAGCCCTGCATAGGGCTCCCTGCTCACTGGAGAATCTGCTTCTCCCTCTGCCTCCCTCTACTTGTATTCATGCACACATGCTCTCTCTCGCTCACTTAAATAAGTTAAATAAATAAATAAAATCTTTCAAAAAATAAAAAATTTTAATAGAAAATAATATATTTTATGTGTAAAAATACATTTTCCAATTTCTTTCCTATGGTAATTCTTGTAAGTTCAGTGGTTTTGGTATTCAGACAAATAAAGACACCTCGTTTTGGTAGCTCATCTAGCAGAAGAACACTTTAATAAAATCACATTTTTACATGGTAGTCTTTTGCTACCTTGTTTCTCTTCACACACAGAATATACTGGTAATCTTATAAAACCTTAAACAAAAATAATCTTTTTCTTTATGAAGTCTCTAATTTTCAGAAATATAGTTCTAAAGGGCAGTTTTTACTTGTGAAAAACAAATTGGTTTTATTAATTTGAAATGACATGAAGAAATATAGCAATTTATGTTTTCTGATTTAACCGATTAATTTTTCCATGTACTTAAGATCTTCCATTTTTGTATCTAATTGACTTGGTCTAATGTTGAAGCAAAATGTTAAATAGAGGTTTACTTGCATTATTTTGCTTAGATCATAAAGTGAGGGTGAAATCACTAGTCTGACTATGAACAGAGAGTATCCTTTGGCTAAATTACTTGAATTGTAAAAAAAAAAAAAGATACCTGCATATAAAACTTGAAAATTACCTATCAGAGATGACTACATATATCTGTTTATCCCGAACTAAAGCCAGCTTTGAACCTTTGCAATTGGCTCTGTTAATCTTAGTCCAGACTTTTCTCTTAGGCTTACCAGATTTATTTTCTACTTTTGCAATTCCATTTTAATTTATGGCTTTAAGGAACCTTGACATTTTATAGGCCAAAGGAAATATCTGAATGTTAATTGACCTGCTACTAGAAATACAGAAGTATAATCGTGTTTGAATTTAGGGTGAGTGGTGGTTTAATTCACATTTCCTGGTAAAGCAGTGATTCTCAACTCTGGCTTGTATGTTGGAATTACCTGGAGGTATTTAAAAAATACTGTGAGCCAGACCTCATACCCAGAGAGTGGGACCCAGCATTGAGAGTTTTATTTATTTATTTTTAAAGATTTATTTCTTTATCATAGAGAAGGGCAGAGGGAGAGAGTCATAAGCAGACTCCACCCTGAGTGTAGAGCCTGACACGGGGCTTGATCTCATGACTCTGAGATCACAACATTAAGATCACCGCCTGAGGCGAAACCAAGAGTTGCACGCTCAACCAACCGTACCACCCAGGTGCCCTGCATTGAGAGTTTTAAACACTCCACATGAACTCTGCTGTTGTGCAGCCAGGATTAAGAATCACTGCTCTGTTAGAGTTGTTCAAAGCTAATTCTAGTAAGGAGTAATTTCATGTTGCTCACAAAATTAAAATGCTTGATGAGCTCAACCAGGCTTTTCTAAAGGGTGATATGTGTACCAGTCATATTACATAAGGTAATTTTGCTTTCTTATTTTACTTACATATTTGTCTTAATGTGCATTAGAAAATAAACATAAGTATCACATCAAACTCAACAGTTCCATGGATACTGCTTTGGATGAAGCTAGAGGTTTTTTTTAAGGACATGTGCCGATTTCAAAATTTGCCAAATTATAGAAATACATTTAAGTGAATGATTAGGTAATACATAGACATAGCAGAAATCATAAAAATGTTGAAGAAACACAGTGGCAACTTTGGTGAAAGGCACCTACTCAAGTCTAGGATTAGAACCTGAAGTATCAGTGCTTTTTCTTCTACATAGATTTATACTAACTTAATTCTTCTGGCTTTTAAAAATCCAGTGACAGACTTTGAGAATTAGAATTTCTGCAAATCTTTTAAATTATTGCTTTCTAACATAAAGTTTCTTGACACTTAGTTCTCTTATGGATGTGTGCCTTATAGATCAAAATATTTTGCTCCTCTTTTTTTCTGAGGTATAGATGATCATGTGGTGAGAACAGGAAGGAGTGTGTGTCTGTATGAGTGTATGAGACAGAGAAAGAGGTATAGATGGTAGTAGGAAGGGTTGATGGACAGGTGAGTAGATCACTTCGATATGTGGATAGAGAATGGTGTTAATTATAGGCCTTCACCTTCCCCAGGTACCTGTTTTCTCCCCAAACTCTCAGGAAGTCTGTATGACTGCCACAACGCAGAATAGTTTAGGAAACACTACTTTAGTTTCTCTCATTGGTAAAGTGGGTTGCTCTGGATGGGCCATTTAAAATGGGCTCTGTATAGAGATACTTAGCTATCCTTTATAAAAGACCTCTGAGGCTCAGAAATATTCGATTAGGCAAATTAGCGTGTGCTATAAATAATAGTTGACTGTTTTATCAATAATGTATATCTACTTCAATTATAGAGGCAGCTTTTCTGAGCAAGAGTAGCCACAGTCAACATTAAAATGATATTACCTGAAGTTAGAAATACTGTGGTGCGGTTGTAATGTACTGTTGTAAATGTCTGTCCTGTATAATTTTATAGAATGGAAGCTTCTTGCCTAGAACTGGCCTTGGAAGGGGAACGTCTGTGTAAGTCAGGAGACTGCCGTGCTGGTGTGTCCTTCTTTGAAGCTGCAGTTCAAGTTGGAACTGAAGACCTAAAAACACTTAGTGCTATTTACAGCCAGCTGGGCAATGCTTATTTCTATTTGCATGATTATGCCAAAGCATTAGAATATCATCATCATGATTTAACTCTTGCAAGGTAATTTAAGCTTTTTAATACCCTTCCTCCCTAAATGTCCCTTAAAAAAATATTTTCATTCAATTAAAAAAATGAACTTAATACATTTTAGTGAGTTCTAATTCAGTAGCATTGCATTCTAAAACTAGTCTTTAGGCTGATCACAGTTTAATTAAATGAATTAATAGTAGTGAACGACCCTAGAGTTTAATTAAATGAATGAAAATTAATTAAATTTAAATACAGAAATGTCAGTTTAAAATTTTTATTTAAAGTAGGTTTCAAGGCTAATGGGTCCTTTATACCTAAAGCATGTCATTTGTCTTCTGGGGAAAACTATACTCTGGCTGCTTTATTTTTAACACCACTTCCTTTTTTTTTTTTTTTCTTCCAGGACTATTGGAGACCAGCTGGGGGAAGCCAAAGCTAGTGGTAATCTGGGAAACACCTTAAAAGTTCTTGGGAATTTTGATGAAGCTGTAGTTTGTTGTCAGCGACACCTAGATATTTCTAGAGAGCTTAATGACAAGGTAATAAGGAACATTAGATGGCAGGCCAAATGTTTTCATTGAAATTGCTTTGTGTTTTAATCCTATTTAATTATTCTGTAGTTTACTAAAAGTTAATACCAAAAAAAATTCATAGAAAAAATTTAAAAATTTAAAATAGCAAAGAAAAAGAAAATAACACATTCTTCTTTCATAAGTAATCATTTGTTTGGTTCTGTGTGGATGGCCAATGCAAACATTTCTTTTTCTTGACCATCAAGGATATTATAAATGAATATGTGATTGGCATTAGAATACTTGGCTTCTGATTTCAAAATGTAAATTCTGCTGATATCTTCATCTAGGTGGGAGAAGCAAGAGCACTTTACAATCTTGGAAATGTGTATCACGCCAAAGGGAAAAGTTTTGGCTGCCCTGGTCTTCAGGACATGGGAGAATTTCCAGAAGAAGTGAGAAATGCCCTTCAGGCAGCTGTGGATTATTATGAGTAAGTAGCACTGATGCAGTCATGTGGCCCACCTAAGCCTTGGATCTACTCTACATTCTTTATCCAGTAATACATTTTTAAGTTTGGCAAAGGTTTTAGAATTATGGACTAGCAAGTAAAAATAAACCATCAAATTGCTGCTGTTTTAGTGTTAGGAGTAATCCCCTCCCAGGAAAGCTTTCCTTTAAACTGTTAGCCAGTGCCACTTAGTGGCAAAAACAGGAAATATCAATCATTAGCCTAAGTTATGTGGAGTAAATTTAGTCTCTTAACTAGTAGAATTTCATAGAACTTCTTAGCTGTAAGGGTTCTAAGATTGACCCCGTTTTTGACTTTGGACAGAAACCTGCCTGAATGATTCAGTAAAGTGTTCCCAGTTATTTAATATTCCCAGTTCTCAGTTAGTGTTCCCAGTTCTCACCCTCCATCATAGATACATCTTTTTTTTTTTTTTAAGATTTTATTTATTTATTTAGAGAGAGAATGTGCACGTGAGCGGGGGGAGGGGCAGACAGAGAGGGAGAGAATCTCAAGCAGACTTCCTGCTGAGCACAGAGCCAGATATTGGGCTTGATCTTACAACCCTGAGATCATGAAATGAGCCGAAATCAAGAGTGGGACACTCAACCAACTGAGCCCGCCAGGCATCCCTTTCATAGACATAGCTTTAAAATGTGGCACATTACAGCTCTAAGCTTATTTAAAATTTTTTTGATAAAAAGAATTTGATTTGTAAGTCAAATCAATACATTTTTTTCTCAGACTTATTTTTTCACAACTTTTCTTACCATTTAGGGAAAACCTATCACTAGTGACTGCTTTGGGTGATCGAGCAGCCCAAGGACGTGCCTTTGGAAATCTTGGAAATACACATTACCTACTTGGCAACTTCAGGGATGCGGTTATAGCTCATGAGCAGGTATAGTGCAAGGCTTCGGAGCCAGATCATTTTCTCCATCAGTGTTTTGAACAGTGATTAGATTATTCTTTAGTTTTATTATAGCTATGTCTAATTAGAATTTTCTGTTTCAGCGTCTCCTTATTGCAAAAGAATTTGGAGATAAAGCAGCTGAAAGAAGAGCATATAGCAACCTTGGAAATGCATATATATTTCTTGGTGAATTTGAAACTGCCTCTGAATACTACAAGTTAGTCTAATATTTCTGTAGATAAATGTAAAATGAGTAGTTATGCAGTCCTATTAAATGATAGGCTTTGGGTTTAAAACCTGCTTTTTGCACATACTAGCAGTAGGACCTTGTGCTTCTAAGCCTCAGTTTCTTCATCTGTAAAGGATAATGCCAATTCCTTGCTTTTGGTATTGTTGTGAGGATTGAATAAAAGAATAAATTCAGCACTTACTTTGCATAGGACCTGGTATTATTGTACCTTAGGTTAAATGGTAGTGGTATGACTCCTTTATATTTTTGTAAGTTTTTATCTTTAAAACTAATTGTTTTTAAGTGAAATTCTAAACTTTTAAAGTCTTTTTTTTTTTTAAGATTTATTTATTTGACAGAGAGAGACACAGCAAGAGAGGGAACACAAGCAGGGGGAGTGGGAGAGGGAGAAGCAGGCTTCCTGCTGAGCAGGGAGCCCGATGCGGGGCTCAATCCCAGGACACCAGGATCATGACCCGAGCCGAAGGCAGATGCTTAACGACTGAGCCACCCAGGCGCCCCATAAACTTTTAAAGTCTTTTAAACCTGTTTAGCATGTGGTGTGTGTGTGTGTGTGTGTGTGTGTGTTTATTTATTTATTACCCAATTATGTGTTTGAAGAAAAGCCACAAGAAAGCCTGATAACAAAAATATGCCCTAGTTTTTACCAGTGATCACTGAATTTTTTTCCCTACCATCGCACCCCCTTGTTGAGCAGTGTTGAGCACTCTCCTCTGCCCATCTTTGATCCTCACCGTAAACTGAGGCCCCATTCACTTACCTGAGGAGTTAGCAAACCCAGCTTCTTCTGGGCAGGGTCTTTCTGATCTATCAATAGACTTGAAACATAGGTAATAGCAAAGTGTAGACTGTTTGAGATTGCCTGGTCTATGCTTTCTAGTTTGGAATTTTCTCTAATTAGTGGGGATTGAAGGCCCATGCAGACCTTAGGCAGAAGCCAGTTTGAACCACAGATACAGTGATTGATTTGTATTTTATTGTTAAAGAATCCAATGTGAGAGAGTTTTGGACAGTTTGTTATCTAAAAAAACGGTAAAATTGCTTTGGGTCCATTTAAAAAACTAGAATGTCATCCCATCCTACTCTAAACATTGACCAATGGTTAATATTTGTTGGTTGGTTAAATATGAAATATCCTTCCAAATAAAATATATTACTATATAAGGAGTATATATTTTGATTTTAAATAGAAAATTTCTTATATTTTAAAGCAAAAGACAGATATCTTAGTTAATGAATGATCTACTTGTATTAAATACTGAAAAGTTCTGTAAGAAAGTGGATGGTGGCTATTTGACTAAAAAGCATGAGTATAAAGTAATGAAACTTCCTCCCACTGCCCTCTCCATAAGTAGGCTAGAACTCAGAGAGAACTCTCCTTTAGAATTGTTTTCAGGACCACACAAGAAGACTGTCTTAACAGTTTAAAGATTTTTTAAATTTTATTTATTCATGAGAGAGAGAGAGAAGCAGAGGGAGAAGCAGAGGGAGAAGCAGGCTCCCCACAGAACAGGGAGCCCGATGTGGGACTGGAGCCTGATGCGGGACTTGATCCCAGGACCCCAGGATCATGACCCGAGCTAAATAAAGGCAGACACTTAACCGACTGAGCCACCCAGGTGCCCCTGTCTTAACATTTTAAATTTATATCCTTCAGGATAGAAAGCAGTAGTTTGGTAAACCTACTTTAGCAATTGAATTTGGTTCCAGAAGGACTTCTGAACATTTACAAATTAACTATACCCTCAAAGAATAATGATTTGCCAGAAAGATACCCCAGGATCTGAAAGCAAATCCAAAAGTCTTCCAAAAATGTATGAGAGGAGGCAATATTACAATACGTGTGTAATAAGTGTGTAGCTTCCCAAGGTAACAGCTTTGAAGGTATCATTATTAAATACATAATTTCAGGTTTGCTTAAAGCTATCGGATTATCATATACTTATTTTTCATATAATTATAAATCATATGAAATATTTATACTATTTGGCAGAAATAATAGGAGCCATTTAAGTTATTGGAGCTAAAGCATCTGTAGGATTAAGTGCTGATGATAATAACAAAACAGTATTAACATTTATTATCATATACTGTGAACAAGATGCTATTCTAAGCACTTCATGTATACTAATTCATTTAATCCTCACAAAACCCTATGAGGTATTTTCCCCATTTTACATATGAAGAAACAGAGAGAGGTTGAGTGAATTGCCCCATTACAGAGCTAATAATTGGCAAAGTTGGGATTTGAACCCAGTCTGGCTCTAGGGTCCACACTCTTAGCTGCTACACTAGCTTCTCATTGACGATTCAGTGAATATTAGGTAGAATTTGGTTAATGTTTAAATATGGTATTTAATATTTTTCATGAATCAGTGACTAATAACCTATACATTAGAATTTTAACTAAGTATTTTAAGTTTTGACAAAATGCAAAGACAACAGTCTGATTGCAAAGAGATGTTATGTGGACAAAATTCTCTTTAAGTTATTGCTACTACGACTGGGACAGTTTTTTTTTTAAATGTTAAAAATTCTATATTATATAATCTTTAGAGGTACTTGATCTCATATGTCAATATTCTTTTTCTCTGAAGAATAAATAGGACTCTCAAATTTATTCTTAGAGTTTGGATTTGGTTTTTGTGATTCCAAGACATCTTTTCATTTTGTCTAAACGTAGTGGAGAAAGTGTGGGATATTAAACTCTAAAATAGATTTACTTTAAAGGCAGAAGGAAAAATGAGAGTTTGATTTTACAATTATTATAGCCAAAAATAAAAATGATCATTGTGTAAGAATTAATTTCTTTTTTTAGAAAGACACTACTATTGGCTCGACAGCTTAAAGACAGAGCTGTTGAAGCACAGTCTTGTTATAGTCTTGGAAACACATATACTTTGCTTCAAGACTACGAAAAGGCCATTGATTATCATCTGAAGCACTTAGCAATTGCTCAAGAGCTAAATGATAGGTAAGTTATACACCTTTTTACTATAATTATAATAAAATATAGATGCATTATTGAATCCCTAGAATTTTTCCCTTGTTTTTGTTTGTTTTCTTTTTAATTCTTTTTCAAGGAATTTCTTCTGTTTTAGTCACCTCTTCTCTATATTATTGTTTGAAGGGCTAGCATGTCTGAGAAGATTAGACTGGCCCATATAGCCTTGAACCAAGACATAAATAGGTCACAAACTCAGTTGCCTACAAAGGTCCTCCTGACTGGATCAGTATGAGAATTATGGTCAACTTACATATAAGGCCCAATGTAAAGGGCACAGCTGCTCCTCAGCTCCAGCTCATTGTTGCTAGGCAGGCCCGCGGATGTTATGTCCATATACTCTTTTTTAAAGAGAAGCTGGAAGTCCTGAGTTTTATTTGAAATCTTCTGATTTTTAAATGTTAATGGCTATTTAAAAAAAAAAAAATGTATGAAAAAGCAGTATATCTGTGCATGCATTTAGTCCATGATGTTTGCTTTAGGAAGACAGATTTTTACTTCATTATAAAGAACTTCTCTGTAGTTGTTCAAAATGAAGTATGCTACTTCTAGTGAGCTCTCTCCCCAGTGGTATTCAGACATGGACTGAATGATTACCTGGGCTATCATGGAAAGAAAATGGAGTAGTTTAACTAGAAGACCTATCCCTGAGATTTTATTATTTCATAATAAATTGTATGTTTTAAAAGAATGCTTCCCATTTTAATACCTGACACTGAGTTCAGTATTATCTGGATAGTCTAATAAGTCTCTTATGTTAAGAAAGTATGTTCTTTATATGAAAGACCAAATAAATCCAAAGCATTATTTATGCCTTTAATTACTACTAGATAGCTTTTATTCCACACACAGCTCTCTTTCAGATAACTGCATGTTAGCTTTGAATTGTTTTGTAGAATTGGTGAAGGAAGAGCATGTTGGAGCTTAGGAAACGCATACACCGCTCTAGGGAATCATGATCAAGCAATGCATTTTGCTGAAAAGCACTTGGAAATTTCAAGAGAGGTATGAAACTAAAACACTGCTATCTGTGCTATTATGATTCACAAATTAGCAGGGCGGGGGGAAGCCCTATTATTTCTCTAGATAGCTCCAATGTGACCTAGTAATAAATTTAACTATGTTATTCCCTTGGCCTAAGAACTGCACAAAGTATTTTAAGATACAGATCAGAGGTCTGTTTGCATTGGCCTTGATGTAGGAAGACAGGAAGGTAAGGCCAGGCATGGCAGAATGGAAAGATTACTGAAATATGCCTCCTGTCTCTACATGGAAAAGTAGCATGGTATAGAAACAAAAACATACTTTGTTTTGCAAACATGATTTTTATAATCAAAGATTGGTTCCTGTTACAGTTTTGCCACTTTCTGGCTATTTGAGCTTGGAAACCTTTTCTGAGTCTCATTTCTCCCATTTGTAAAATGAGTAATATCTACCTTGCAAATCATTATAAGAATTAGAGATAGTGTATATAAAAGTGCCTTGTGTAATGCTTAGTGCTGGCTTAATATATATTAACTATTACTATGGAATGGAAACAAAATAAGGAAATTTTAATCATGTGATGCCAAGTTAATGTGTCACAGAATAACCTACATTATTATTAAATATGATTGTAGAAATTAAAAGCAACTAATATTTAGAGAATGAATTGATACAATGTAATTAGCTTTCCTATTGCCATACTTTAGAAATTTCCCTTTTCTTTAAAACAATTATTGAAAAAACCCCTTTCGTTCAGTGTCTTAATTCTAGTATAACTCTTTTCATTTCTCTATATTTTCTTCCAGTTCTGGGTTCACAACATTTTCAGCTAATCTTCACCATTCTTTATTTTTAAATACTACTCTAAAATATAAATGCTTGTCGTTGTAGGTTGGGGATAGAAGTGGTGAACTAACAGCACGACTAAATCTCTCAGATCTTCAAATGGTTCTTGGTCTGAGCTACAGCACAAATAATTCAATAATGTCTGAAAATATTGAAATTGGTAACAGTTTGCATGGTAAGTAATAGGTATTCAAACCCAATTTCTTTATTCTCAATTACATTACCTATCACATGTTTACCATATCCAGAGAGAATATATAACATAGGAAGCTCAACTTTTATACTACCTTTTTGCTTTACACCAGTCCTATTGATTTATCAATACAGAATATAGTATTTTCAGCTGTTATCATGAACTTAGGAAAGGTGAAGGTATGTTTATTTTCTTTTGTAAAAATACATTTAAATTCTCTATGGGCTCACTCAAAAATTTGTAAATGTGAAGATGTAAAAATTAAAACATATATTGTTTGGTTCTTTTTAATTCAAATGTTTTTACATATTTGATTTTTGTTTAGCTCTTCCCATTTTTTTCTTTTTTTTTTTTTTAAGATTTTATTTATTTGAGAGAGAGAGTAGGTAGTAGCAAGCAGGGGGAGGGAGAGGGACAAGCAGACTCTACTCAATGTGGAGCCTGACGCAGGGCTCCACTTCATGACCCTCAGATCATGACCTGAGCTGAAATCAAGAGTCAGACACTTAACCGACTGAGCCACCCAGGCGCTCCTCCCATTTAATTTCTAAGGTGATCTCTTAGTATTTTTACTATTTTTTTAAAATTCAGAAAACCTGGGAAATTTTCTTGAGGTCAGCACCTACAGAAAGATTTGCTTTGACATTGCTACAGGGAAAGACATGCTTGAATGTCTCTGTTTCTACATGAAAAAAATTGTACTTTTTTTTTTAAAAATAAGCCTTATGCCCCATGTGAGGCTTGAACTCATGTCCCTGAAATCAAGAGTCGCACACTCTAACCATGAGAGACTGTGGACTCTGAAAAACAAACTGAGGGTTCTAGAGGGGAGGGGGGTGGGAGGATGGGTTAGCCTGGTGATGGGTATTAAAGAGGGCATGTTCTGCATGGAGCACTGGGTGTTGTATGCAAACAGTGAATCATGGAACACTACATCAAAAACTAATGATGTAATGTATGGTGATTAACATAACATAATAAAAAAAATACAACAACAAAAAAAAGTTGCACGCTCTACCGACTGAGCCAACCAGCTGCCCCCAAAATTCAACTTCTGATTAAAGAAATAAAAAGGGACAGTATTAGAGTCACATTTTTTAATACTCTATACATGATTGTGTGAGATCCATTTTACAGATTTTATAGAGAATTAAAAATTCTAAGTGATAAAAGTTACCAATACAGATTAATGTTTTGAACTTAGAAGTCAGTGAAAAATCGAGCTTCCATCTCTCATTTCCTTCTCTAAACTCATATAAAAAAAGGAAGAAGGAAGAGAAATTAGCGGCTAGTCATCTGATAAAGACTTGGAAAGAACATTTAGTGAAAGATTCTGAAGTATGGGTAATGTATGGGACTGTGTGCTTTGCAACTGAGTAATGGGCTGAAAAGTTTCTCTGTGCTTAATTTTCAAGTAGGGTATGTTGTAAAAGCTCTCATATTTTAACAAACTGTTGTCTTCATGGATCCCTCTAAATGTAGACCCATTTTTTTGTTCCCACTTGTAAAAAAACTTGAAAATAGTATTAATGTTCATTACTTTTTCACTTCCCATTCTCTGCTCAAGTCACTCTGCTTGGGCTTTGGCTTCATCATGACACTGAAACCTTCTCAAGGTTACCAGAAATCTCCATTTTACCAAATCATTGATCAGTTTTCAGATGTCAGGTTACTTGATTTCTCAGCAATGTTTCCTACCGCTGATCATTCCCTTCTCAAAATACTTTGCTCATTTGGCTTCCAGGATTACCCTCCTTTTCTGGTTTGCTTTCACCTCACTGGCCACTCTCAGTCTTCATTACTCTCTCCTTATCATCTTTCCATCCTTGAAATTTGTAGTGCCCAGAGATCAATTCTTGGACCTCTTCTTCCTTCCCCCTTCCTTCTCTCCCTCCCTATTTTCTTTCTATCCTATCCTATCCTTCCTTCCTTTCTGATTTTATCCTTTTTCCTCTTATCCTATACTCTAGATCAGTGCTTCTTTTTCTTTTAAGATTTTACTTATTTGTAAGAAGAGAGAGCACAAGCAGGGGGAGTGGCAGGCAGAGGGAGAAGCAGGCTCCCCACTGAGCAGGGAGCCCGATGTGGGACTCGATCCCAAGACTTTGGGATCGTGACCTGAGCCAAAGGCAGAACGCCTAACCGACTGAGCCACCCAGGCGTCCCTAGATTGATTGATTATTTATTTATTTATCTATTTATCTATTTATTTATTTATGAATGAATGATGGAGCAAGCATGAGCCAGGGGGAGAGGCAGAGAAGCAGACTCCTTGCTGAGCAGGGAGCCTGACACAGGGCCCGATCCAGGAACCCTGTGATCGTAACCTGAGCTGAAGGCAGACACTTAACTGAGCTACCCAGGTGCCCCTAGATCAGTGCTTCTCATAGAACTTTCTGCGAAGATGGAAGTATTGTATACCTAGTCTGTCTGGTACAATAGCCTCTGGCCATATGTGGCCATATGAGCACTTGCAATGTGGCTAGTGCAAAAGAGGAAATGAATTCTTAATATTAATTGTAATTAATTAAAAATTTAAAAGCCATATGTGACTAGTGGCTACTATATCAAACAGCACAACTCTAGATGATTTCATTCAGTTGACTGGCTTTTATATCTTCTATATACTGATGATTTTCAAATTGATATTTCCAGTCATAATTTTTCTTATGTTTAAGATTCACATATATAACATTTCCATTTGAATGTCTAATTGGCATCTAAAACTTAACATGTCCAAAACAGAGCTCTTGTTTTTTCTTCCCACACATGTTCTTCCTCCAGTCTGCCCCGTCTCAGGAAATGGTACCACCATTCATCCAAGTATTCAGGCCAAATACCTATGGGTCATCCTTGTTCCCTTTCTTCCACTCACTTCCTACATCCAACCTATCAGAAACCCTACCTTCAAAATATATGCCTAATCTCTCTTACAGTGTACACTGCAACAATCCTAGTACAAGCTACCAACATTTCCCAGTAGGGTACTAGCTTATCAACTATTTCTCTTGCTTCCATTCTTGATCCCTCACACTGACTTTTTCACACAGCAGCCAGAGTGCTCTTTTAAAATGTAAATCATATCATGTCCCATTCATCAGTTCAAAACCCTCCAGTGACTTCCCATCACGCCTAGAAACCAAATCCTCAGTTGTCACCATGGTTAAAAGGCCTTATGTAATCTTGACCTACTTCTTCAACATCACTTCCTACCACTCCCCGTTTGCTCATTGTAGCTGCATGAAGACAGGTATTTTTTGGCCTCTTTTGTTCATTGCTGTATTTCTTTTTTTTTTTTTTTTTTT